CCCTCGATAAATACTCCGAGTCCTGACACCCAGACTGAGCACTGGATTCCTGCAGCCTCCTCTTCACAGCCTAGCTTTGAGTGGGGTGGTCACGTAAAATGCAAGATACCCAATTAAGTTAGAATGAATCTGAAACGAATCAAAGCAAAAGATAAATTACTGCCTTTGAAGTGATGTGAACCCGCATGTGGGCCCTGCTAAGGAGGTTGAGGCAGAGTGTATTCCTTTTTTTGCACCAGCCCTGATCCCCCACCTAGGGATGCCCGAGAACACCAGAGTTGCTCTAGGCCAGGGTTCTTGTCACCTATGGAATGGGTGGGTGCTTGAGGGGAAAGTTCTGCAGAAAACACAGAGGCTGGGAACAAAGTCCTAGGCAGGAACTGGGAAAACCCATGTCTGGCTGCATAAGAAGGGAGGTGGAGCCCCAGGAGTGAGGCTCCCACACCAGGAGGTGAGGAGGGCTGCTGTGTCAAGGCCATCCAGCCAGGGCCCCGCCCACTGTTCCAGAACATTCTGGGGAGGGCAGTTGTCCACAGTCACCCAGGAAGGCTGCCCCCAGGAAGGCAAAGACGGAGATGGCAAATTAAAAATCATCACTGTGGGGAGAAGCAGGTCCTTCTGCGGAAACCTGCCCTGGTCCACTGAGTGATCCCTGTGCGATCGGCTGACCAAGTGGTTGCCACGAGCTGCTCAGTTGCTTGCTGACTGGAATTGTGAAGCCTGCGGCAAAGAGGGAAACCAATGGCACAAATTGAGGGTTGGAGGAGGCGGCAACTGCCATGTCTTCAACTTCACCAGTGAATTCTCAGAAGTGGCTCCAGTAGGGCCCAGGGCCAGCTTTGCATTTGCTTCCTTTTCTCACAACTGGGCTTCACAGCAGGACCCCACATGCCTCACCTCTCCCAGGAAAGGCTGGGCAGGAGCAATGGTCCCAAGATGGCCAGGGACTTGCAGAGGAGGGAGACCAGGTCCTGGTAGGAGGAGGAAACTCCGGTCCCCACTCAACATGACCATGGTCAGCACCCTTGCTTGGGCTTCACTTGGAGGAAATTTTCCCTGTCAAGATCACATGAAGAGACCATCTGCTCCCCACACACCACATTTCTCACTTGGTGCTCTCTGGTCCCTTCTTCCTGTCCCTGCAGCCTGCCCGCTTAGGCTTGATGTCATCCCAAGTCACTTACCATCCCTTAGGGGATTGTTCCACAGTCCATGGCATCCACAACACTTTGTGCAAAGAGCCCCTTGGGGTGTGAAGCTTTCTCACTTTCTAGTGATTTCCTGAAGGCATTTCCCACTGGGTTACAAGACCTGAGCATTCTGCAGAGCCCAGAAGTTAAGTCACTACCCCTCATCCACAGTCCTCCCTCCCAGTAGGAGAGTGCGGATACTGCTAATGGGGGTGCAGTGAGTAGAGGGGGAGGTGAAGGGACACACTTCCCAGGGAGATCCCTCTCCACCTGCTGGCAGCAGAGCTGCTGTCTCCTCTTCCACCTCCATACCTCCCAAGGCCTGCCCAACTCGGGCATAAACACACAGTCGACCCCCTCCCGTGTCCTCGTCTTTCAATTTTGAGGCTCCTACTCATAGGAGGTAGGGTAAGGGGAGGAAGGAGGTGACAGGCAGTTAAGCCCCAGGTGGGTGGAGAGGGCTGGGAGTGTATTCAGGGTAGGAGGCAGGCAGACTCTTCTTATGTAAAAACACATGTGGTGTGGTGGGATGGGGTCATGATAACACATCTGTAGGACGGCTAATGGGGGCTGCAGAGAAGATGGCCCTGAGGAAGTGAGCTTCATGGGCCCAGTTCACCTTTGGAAGCTGCCCAACTCCGACCAAAGCAAGTGGGAAGCAGATATCAGAGCAGATCCTTGAAGATTTCTAGGTGGAAAGGAGGCTAGGGGCAGGTCACCGCCCAGGCAAAGGGCTTGGGGCAAGGTGAGCTCAAAAGGCACAGGGGCAGGGGAGAGGATGGTAGGAGACAGAAGGATGTTCTCCCAGTCCTGGGAGGTATGGAGGTGGGTCACTTCAGGCACCCAGGGCACCTGGCTCTGTTCAATGTCATGAAGTTTTTCCCATATGTTTTTTACCAAGCACTTTAGAGTTTTGGCTCTTCTGTTTAGGTCTTTGGGCCGGGTCGTGATGTCCATCAGCCCCAGGCCTCCTTGGATCACATCAGGCAGAAGCCCCCTACGTAGGCTGCTTTAATCCCAGTTGTTCAGGTCCAGACTGCAGTGACCCCAACCTTCCTGAAATGTGCAGCCTGGATGGAGGAATCTGCTAGGTCTCTTGAGTCTGGCCACAACGAGATTTGTGTGTGTTTGTTTTTTTAGTTTTTTGTTTGTTTTTGGAGTTTAGGTTTTTATTGTGATAAAGAAACATAACATAAAATGTATCATCTTAAACATTTTTAAGGGTGCAGTTCAGTGGCAATAGGAATGTGCAAGTTGTTGGGCCCCTATCACCATCATTAATCTCCAGAATGCTTTTCATCTTACAAACACCGTCCCCACTAAACACTAAATCCCCATCCCCTCCCCAACCCCTGGCACCTGCGATTCTACTTTCTGTCTCTAGAAATTTGACTCCTCTAGGAACCTCATATGAGTACAATCATAAGGTATTTGTCACTTAGCATAATGCCCTCAAGTTTCATCCATGATATGTCACATGTCAGGATTTCTTTCCTTTTAAAGAGTGAATAACCTTCTGTTGTATGGACGGACCATGCATTGAATATCCATTCGCCCTTCTATGGACACATGAGTGGCTTCCATCTGTTGACTCCTGTGAATAAAGCTGCTGTGACTATGGGTGTGCAAACATCTCTGCAAGCCTCTGCTTTCCATGCTTTGGGATATATACTCAGATGTGGGATTTCTGGATCACATGGTAATTCTATGTTTAACTTTTTGAGGACCTGCTGTACCATTTCCAATAGTGGCTTCACCATGTTGCAAGGCAGGAGGATTCCGATTTCTCCACATCTTCACCAACATTTGCTTCCTGTTTTCTTGACAATAGCCACCTGAATGGGTATGAAGTGGTATCTCATGACAGTTTTTTATTTGTATTTCCCTAATGGATAGTGACATTGAGCATCTTTTCATGCCCTTATTGGTCATTTGTTTATCTTCTGTGGAGAAATGTCTATTCAAGTCCTTTGCTCACTGTTAATTGGGTTGTTTGGTTTTTTGTTGTTGGGTTATAGGAATTCTTTATACATTCTGAATATTCCTCTATATCCGATGTAAAATTTGTAAATATTTTCTCTCATTTGATGATTTTCTTTTAACTTTCTTGAGTGTGTCCTTTGATGCACAAGTTTTTAATTTTGAAGTTCACATTATCTATTTTTTCTTTCATTGTGTGTGCTTTCAATGTTATATCCAAGAAGTCACTGTCAAATCCAATGTTATGAAGCTTTTCCCATATTTTTTCTAAGCACTTTAGAGTTTTGGCTCTTCTGTTTAGGTCTTTGGGCCGGGTCGTGATGTTCAACAGCCCCAGGCCTCCTTGGATCACATCAGGCAGAAGCCCCCTACGTAGGCTGCTTTCTTCACTGTGTTCTGGTGTTTAGCCTTGGCCACTCTGAGACGAAGGGCCAACTCCTGCAGTCCCTCCTAGGACCACTCCCCAAAGCCTGCAGCATTCACCCATAATCCCCCAAATGGATAGATACAGAGTGGTGAAGGGCAAGGACCCCTCTCCCACTCCAGGAAACCTCTCAAGACTTCCCTCCAATCTGGATCCCTCTAAAACCGAGGACATGTGCCCAGTACCCACTCCTCTTCATGTCATCTACTGTCCCCATAGGCACCATCAGTTGCCAACCCTGACCCAGACCCTTAGGAGAGTGGAAGGGGCCTTCAAAGTCACATCAATTGCATTGTTCTCCTGCCTTGTTGAGTTGCAACTCCTGCCCTCAGCCTGCCTCCTGCCCTCACTCAACTGACAAGAATGAAGACAGTGCTACTCCACCTGCCGTGTACAGGACAGGGTCCTGCCATGTCCTCTTAAGACAGTTCACATGTGGGGCAGCTCTCAGGAAGAGAGTGGAGAGTGGAAAGGAATGTAGCACCCTCTATCCCAGCCTTGAGGCCTCCAGGGTTGCCCGTTCTGCCATAATCATACTGGATTCTGACTTGCCTTCCATCACTGTCTCAGCTCATTCGGTGACTTTTTGCTCCCGAGAGACCAGCATCTCCACTGTGGAGTCAGCTAAACACCTGGTAAAGCAGACAGCCCAACGAGACAAACAGTGACAGCTCATGAGAGAAGTGTCCCCTGCAGGTAGCTGAGGCTCGACTGACCTGGGTCACAGCCCCTTAGGGTTCTTTCACAGGCATGTCCCCTGCAGGTGCCGGACAGGAAGTGAACAGGTCAGACCAAAACTCTATTCTGGATACTGGCTTGGGCACCTGCTTGGGCACTGCCCAGAACGGACAGCCCTGCAGCCTGCTGGGGCCCAGAGAATGTTATTATACTTTTTAAAAAAAGAAAAAGAAATAAAGTCATAGTTCGTAATTTGAGATCAAGAAAAGCTGGTAATCTGCATGCTGCTTCCACCTGGTGTGTGGCCTGCAAGTGACAAATCCTCCTGATATGAAAGTGGGAAGGGGTGCCCATGAGAGAGGCCAATCCCTCCCCAGGTGTCACTTAGGTCGACAGCTTCACCCAGGGCGTCTCCAGGCCTCCAGGGAAAACCGCTTCCAGCCAACAGTGTTCCTTAGTCCCCATAGCAACAGGGTCTTGCACTCCTGTTTCCAGGGAAACCCAGCCCTCAGCGTCGCAGTTGCCACAGCAACACCCATGGGCTTGGCTGGCTGAACGGGCAGTCTCACCAAACAAGCAGAGGCAACTGAACACCCAGGCTCAAGACTCAGGACTGCAAAACCAGGTGCTGTGCACTGAGAAGGGTCCTGGTTGAGCCGGATCCCAGGAAGAGACTTGCCTGGGAGCCAAGTCCTGGCTTCCTCTGGGGTCCTGTGCTCGGGACCACAATGAGTTCTGTCTCCAGCGAGCCTGGTGACGGGGACACCTCCCAGCAGTCCCGGCTGGGGTTGGACGCCGTGATCCAGGTCAGTGAAGTGGCTGCTCTCCCTGTCCCCTCCCATGAGCAGGTCCCAAGGGCACTTTGGGAGGGACGCTGTACAGACAGGGAGCCACCAAGCCACACCTTCCCGGCTCCAGAGGCACTTTCCTCCTGCTCATGTGTTCAGTATGAGCGTGCACACACACACTGCCATAGGCATGCACCCTTGGCATGCACATGTGCGTGCATGCCAATGAATGCAGTCTCGACTCAGGAGTGGAGCCTAAAGAGGGGCAGAGCTTGGGGCCAGCCTTCCCACTGCCTGCTGCCTGTGCTCAGGCAGTCAGCTCCCCTTCGCTGCCCCAGAGGGACAGACCACCCTTCGATGCTAACTTAGGGATCATGCTCAGTGCTTTCTTAGGGCAAGGTACGAGAGCCAGCAGAGCTTCCCTGGGGAGGGGCTGTCATCCCTGCCCATTGTGGGCAAGTGTGGTTCATCCCCAGGAACCATTCTGTGGGTGCCAAGTACTCTAGTTTTGTCTATCTTCACTGCATAATAATAGCAATGACTGGGCATTTCCCAACATCCCTCTTCCCTCCTTCTCAGAGCAAACCTATTGCCCAATCTTGTGACCCCCACATGTTTAGCCCCTACACATCCTATCCGCACACACACTGATGTCACCTGCTGCTGACCACCACAGCCAGGCAGTAACCCCTCTGACTGATCCTTTGGGTGAACCCCAAATGAACTGGTGAACTCAGAGTTGTTCATCAACCCAGCTCTCAGAACCTCGAAACTGCACCATAGGGGGTTGACACAGCCCTATCTAAACAATACAGGTCACCCGCAAAGAGTAATGGCCATGTCTGGCGCCAAGTGACTAAATAACATGGTAGAGTCATAGTGTACACACACACACAGGTATCCACACAAGGACAGCACATGACAAGGGCAGGATATTTGAATCAGGGGATACCTCTGTTCAGCTCTGATAAGGTCTGAGAGCTAGGCTGGTTAATGATGGATGGGAAGAGCAGGGTTGGTACACCACAGTGTATAAGACACTTCCAGCCCTGTGAGGATTTTATCATTCCTTTGGATGCCAAGAAAACCAAGGCCTGAGGGTTGATGCAAGTTGTCTGTGGTTGTTGGCTAGTTGGAGGGAGAAACCTAGCATGGTGCCGACATCTGGCAGTGGGCATGAGGGCTTTGCAAATTCAGCTGAGGGATAATTTTGCCTGCCCCCAAATTCACACTGTCCCTCGGACACTCATCTGAAAGTCATGTAGAGCTCTGAAGAGGTCAGCTCAGCCTGCCCAGCCAACACTTGTTATTTGCACTGTTGTGATTGAGATCTTGGTACAATTAACATGAGATGAGCAGGCAGCAGGCAGGCGCCATGAGATGCCCAGATAGGCCCGTCCAGACTGGATGGCAGAACTGTAGGAATCCTGCACCCCTCCAGCTACAGCCCAGGAAACAGCAAGTCCTGGGGAGAGGTGTGGCTCAAGGACGGGACAGCCTCTTTTGTGACCAGGAATGTTCTTCCAGACACTGAACATACTCCTGGGCCTGGAGAAGCCTCCCCTGATGTCCCTCTCCCTCCTTCCACAGTTTTTCCCTCTCCTCTGAACCTCCACCAGCACCCTCTGCACAGCATCCCAGAATGCTCAGGCTCCCTGACTTAGAGCTGGAATTGGACATAAGGGGAGTAGACTTGGAAACTATTAACTGCTGTCCCTGGGGTGAGCAAATTAAGCTTAGGGAATGCAAAGAGCCCTGAAATAGGAGCAGGAAGGGACATATGTGCCTGCCTCCAGGGCAGGGGCTGTGACCCTCCTCAGATTCTCCAAGTGTCTGGACCCACAACAGATGGAGAACTGCTGATGTACAGAGTCCTAGACAAGGATCATTAATGTGGAAAGATTTCTGATTCTGGACTCAGACATTTTAACAGCTGTGGGACTTTTCTGACTTCATTTATTTTGGGCTAAGTTTTGATTAATGGAATTTTTCTAGGAATTCATCCATTAGATATGAATTTTCAGATTTATTAGCATAAGTCATTCATAATATCTTCTCAGTGTCTTTCAAATGCCTGCAGGATGTGACATGGGGTAACCAGCTGTCACTGTTTGCTGAGGGATTTGAGACAGAGCCTTGCCAGGATTCAAGACTTTTTTTTTTAGTTGGAGTCTCACTCTGTTGCCCAGGCTGGAGTGCAGTGGCACACTCACAGCCACCCCAGCATCAACCTGCTGGGCTCTGGCGATCCTTCCACCTCAGCCTTCCAAATAGCCAGAACTACAGGCACACACTACTACACCAAGTTAATTTTTGATTTATTGTAGAAACAAGGTCTCGCCAAGCTGCCCGAGCTGGTTTTGAACCCACGGGCTCAGGCAATCCACTTGAGCCCAGCTGGACTTGAGACTTTTAATGCTAAATCCAAGTCCTGGGCAAACCGAGCATGCACTGGTCACCCTGAAGTGACATCCTTTTTTTCATTTCTGGGACTAGTCATTTACTGATCTCCCTTATATTATTTCTATCTAGTATTTCATTAATTTATGTATTTGTTATTCTCTTGATTCAATTTCTTTGGGGTTGTTGTTCACCTAATTTTTTGAGATATGTGCTTAATTCATTGATTTTCAGTCTGTTTTAAGTTTTTTTCTTTAAATTGTGAAAATGTATATATGTAACATAAAATTTACTACCTTAACCATTTTTTAAGTGTACATTTCAGTGGCATTGAAAAACTTCATTTTGGCCAGGTGATGTGGCTCACACCTGTAATACCAGCACTTTGGGGGGCCAAGGTGGGAGGATCACATGAATCCAGAAGTTTGAGACCAGTCTAAGCAACATAGTGAGATCTCATCTCTACAGAAAAAAAAATTACCTCGTGCCTGTTGCTCCAGCTACCCAGGAGGCTGAGGCGAGAGGATCACCTGAGCCCTGGAAGTCAAGGTTGCAGTGAGTTGTAATGGTGCCACTGCACTCCAGCCTGGGCAATAGAGTGAGACATCAATTCAAATTTTTAAAAAATTCATGTTGCTGCACAACTATCGCCACTATCCATCTCCAGAACTCTTTTAACCTTTCCAAATTGAGACTCTGTCCCCATTAAACACTAACTCCCTATTTCCTCCTCCTCCCAGCCCAAGGCACCTGCCATTCTACTTTCTGCCTCTATGAACTTCACTCTAGGGATGTCACGTAAGTGGAATCATATGGTTTTTGTCTCTTTGACTGGCTTATTTCACTTAGAATGACGTCCTCAAGGTTCATGCATATTGTCACGTGTGTCAGAATTTTCTTCCTTCTTGGGGTTGAATAACATTCCTCCATATGGATAGACCACAATGTGCTTATCCATTCAGCCACCAATGGAAACATGAGCTGTTTTCACATGCTAACTCCTGGGATTAATGTTGGTATGAGCATGGGTGCACAAATATCCCTTTAAAACTTGCTTTCAATTATTTTTGGTATATATTCAGAAATGAAATTGCCGGGTCATACAGTAAGTATACATTTAATTTTTCAAGGACCTGTCATTTTGCTTCCCACCGCAGCTGAACTATTTTGCATTCATACTTTCTTCTTTTCTTTAATGTACACATTTCCTTCTAAACAAGACTTTATCTATATGAACTGTTTTTCCTCACACCACTTCTGACACCTAATGTGTGGGTTTTTTCCAACCAATTTTCCAACCCTCTGGATATCAGCCACCAACTAGGTGTCCTACAATTTCATTCTGACCTGACTACCCAGAATTAGTGCAGACTTCACAGGTTAAGGGTTCAGTCCCATGAGACTGCCCCACCACAGATGCCAATCACAAGTCCTGGGTCTCCTGTGCTTCTGACAGACCAGCTATGATTTGGGGGTTCCCACAAGCCCCTCTTCAAGCCCCTTAATTTGCCAGAACCTCTCACAGAACTCAGAAAGTCTCTTGACTTACTTGGTTACTGGTTTATTATAAAATATACAAACCAGGAACAGCCAGATGGAGAGACACACACAGGGCAAGATATGGGGGACAGGTGTGGAGCCTCCATGGCCCCTTGGGTGCACCACCCTCCAGCACATCTATGTGTTCAGCAACCCAGCTCTCCCTACCTGTGATTTGGGCTTCTCTGGAGCTTTCATCAAGTAGGCACAATGGATTGAATCACTGGTCATTGGTGATCAATTCAATTGTCGGTTCCTCTCTACTCCCCGGAGGCAGGAGTATGTGGTTGAAAGTTCCAATCCTGTCATGAAACCTTGGTCTTTCCGGTGACTAACTCTTACTCTGAAGCTACCTAGGGACCTCTGCCATCAGTCATCTCATGAGCAATCAAAAGATACTCTTATCACTTTGGGGATCTCAGGGGTCCAGGGGTCCAGAGTACAGACCCACTGCAGGACAGGGGCAGTGGATGGTTTGGGAGTGGCTGGCCATGATGCTGGTCACCAAGCCCCACACTGCTCACAGGCAAGCCAGAGCTGGAAGCTGGGCCTATCTCCAAATCTCCTAGGTCAACTGTCTTGACATAACCAGGTTACTGGGCTAACCAGTTGGGCCCATCCTCCTGCTCAGAAACCCCTACCAGCCCCATGGTCCAAGGATGGGGCCCCGTGTTCCTCCACAGAATATTAAAGCCTTTACAGTTGGGATCCCATTTCCTCCCCTGCCTGATTCACCCTCAGCCCCACACCCTCCCCACCAGGCCCCGCACAGACTCTGGCCTCCAACCTTTGTTCCCACTGGTCCTTCCATGTGCACACCTGTGCCTGTGTCGCTAGCTTAGTACGGGTCCTAGCAACAGTCTCTATCTAACAAGAGTCCTATTTATCCTGCCTGCCACCTCCCCCAGGAAGCCTGTGTGGGCTCCGGGGATACACGAGCAAACAAAACCGACAGGGTCCTCACCCTCTTGAGCATTGCTTGTTATGAGTCATTTTGTAGTTTGTGATTCATACCTCAGGCAGTTCCAGCTGGGCTTTCAATCATCCGAGCCATGAGTTGTGGCTGAGCCTGTTTGCTG